ATTATGGATAACATTGTGAAGAATGGGAATTCTAGAACACTTAATTGTGCTCATGAGGAACCTGTACATAGACCAAGAGGCAGTCATTCAAACTGAACAAGGGGATACTGTGTGGTTTAAAATCCGGAAAGGTGTGTGTCAGGGTTGTATCTTTTCACCATACTTATTAAATCTGTATGCTGAGCAAATAATCTGAGAAGCTGGACTATATGAAGAAGAAGGTGGCATCAGGATTGGAGGAAGACTAATCAACAACTTGAGATATGCAGATGACACAACATTGCTTGCTGAAAGAGAAGAGGACTTGAAGCACTTTGGTGAAGATCAAAGACTATAGCCTTCAGTATGGATTACACCTCAACATAAAGAAAACAAAAATCCTCACAACTGAACCAATAAGCAACATCATGATAAACAGAGAAAATATTGAAGTTGTCAAGGATTTCGTTTTATTTGGATCCACCATCAATGCCCATGGAAAGAGCAGTCAAGAAATCAAACAACGTATTGCATTGGGCAAATCTGCTGCAAAAGATTTCATTAAAGCGTTAATAAAGCAAAGATGTCACTTGGAGGACTAAGGTGAGCCTGACCCAAGCCATAGTATTTTCAATTGGCTCATATGCATTCAAAAGCTGGACAATGAATAAAGACCAAAGAAGAATTGATGCCTTTGAATTATGGTGTTTGACTAAGAATATTGAATATACCATGGACTGCCAAAAGAACGAACAAATCTGTCTTGTAAGAAGTACAGCCAGAGTGCTCCTTAGAAGTGTGGATGGCAAGACTTCAACTCATGTGCTTTGGACATGTTATCAGGAGGGACCAGTCCCTGGAGAAGGACATCATGCTTGGTGAAGGACATCAGCGAAAAAGAAGAACACCCTCAACAAGGTGGATTGACACAGTGGCTGCCAACAATGGGCTCAAACATAGCAACGATTGTGAGGATGGTACAGGACCAGGCAGTGTTTTGTTCTGATGTACACAGGGTCGCTATGAATCAGAACTGACAACACCTACCAATGACAACAACATAATATTAGCGACTGAACACAAAAGTGACGTATGCCGTTTTAGCAGAATGAGTTGACCTGGATTATCAAATTTTTAGTGGATACGGGGTACTAAGATTTTTACTATATACCACATTTTTCTGCACAAAGAATATATTCCACATATTGTACAACAAAGAAGATGAGTCCGTGAACTTAGTTGTTTCAACAATCAGTGTAAAATTCTGCTGATCACCCCCACCTCTTGTTTACTAGAAAAAAATAGTATGCTCCCAAGACGCCTGCTGAGATAAGGCGTTTCAATTACCCGGGAGGGGACTGTAGGAGACAGAGGTCAACGAAAGTGTTGAAGTGGTAGGAGCCTCATAGATTAAACAATCTTGCCCGTGGGTGCCCTCATGACCCTGTGTGAACTTTATTTCTGGCTGGCACCTGGCTGGCACATTCGCACACCCTGGAGCTGCTATCAATTCCATTTAGTGCCCTGCCAGTTCCCTTCCGCTGTAGCACTCACTTTTCCTTGTGTCCTATCTGCTTGGCATCTATGGGTCTTTGCTTTGGACAACTGGTGTCCCTGTTTTATTGATGCCCTAAGCATGTGCTTACCTTGCGTATTGGGTAGTCTGTCCCTGCACTGGGGGCTGCAGTGGAGAGGAGTCAGGAGCCAGGAGGGCAAGTCTCAGACCTTCCCTGATTCCCTGAGTGACATGGGAGAGGTCTATCTCCCAGTGGGCCTCACCTTCTTCATCAATTAAGTGGGATGGCACTCATGCTCAGCCCCCACAACAGCATGGTTTTGAAGCTTCATAGAGACTTGGGAGGGGAACGAATGACCTCAGTGAGGAACTGGCTCAGCTTGAGGCTAATGGCGGACTTGCGGGGGGGAGGGTGGGCACTGCACAGAGCTGGTCACACTCCATCAACTATGGATGAGCTGTTGCAGGGTTAGTAGCCCCTGGACCCAGACTCCGTCCTCTGGGCCTCAAGATGGGGGTTCAGGCTGGGCCTCTCCCCTCCCCTAATGCAAAATCCACACCTGCTTACCTGGTCCACTATGTCCACAGAACAGGGGAGGTGGGTAATCCAGAACCACTATGTCACCTGTCACACACATACACACATACACCATCTCTCAGACCCAGACACACAAGCGCCCGCGAGGTTAGTATTTTGAGGAGACATAGGGTTGTTATGAGTAGGAATCAACTCAGTAGCAACTGGGGGTGGGGGGAGGGATTAGTTTAATGTTTTTCCCTCAACACCCTCCTGTTCCCCCAGTGTCAGTCCCTGGAGGGAGGACAAGACTCTCAGCTGTTTGGGCCACCCTGTATCCCTGGCATCCAGCATGGTCCCAGTTGAATTAATAAATAAAAATATACTCACCACACGCACACAGGTATGCCCAATCCCAACCACAGGCTCCACCACACATACATTGTCACAATGATTTCCACGCCAGTGTTCATGACAAAACACTCCCTCTGGCTCCCTCGAGGACATCCCTCACACCACACTCTCTCGATCACAGAAGTAGACGCTAACTAGCTTCTGCCGGGCCCATAAACTGTCTTACACACTCGTGTGTACACACATATCTGTATACACGCACTCGTGCACACAGCAAGCCCATCTGGTTTCCATCCCAGCCTTCCTCCCTCCCCCAGCTTTGGTACTAATGGTCTAGGCTGGGTCCTTTTGAAGCCCTCAGAAGAGGGGGTTGGGAGGGACCCTAGTGACGGACAGGAGGAAGCAAGGATTTTATGAATCTGCTGGCTGTAAACTTCCCCCCAACACATCCCCCTACACACACACACACACACCACCCCACCCCTTCTTCTGCCTTCCTTATCACTGCAGGGCAGTATCGCCCCACCCTCTGTTCACCCTCACCTTCCACCCCAAACTACTCAGCACAATTCAAATGGGACCATTCACCTAATGATGACCACCACCCCCCCACCCACACACACACATACACCACCACACTTTGGGGTGGCACAAGGCAGCATTTTTCAACAATCTAGACTGCAGATGTTTCAATCCTGGCTGGGCTCTGACCAGCTGGTACCCTTGGACAAGTGACTTGATCTCTCAGCCTCATTTTCCTCCTCTGAGAAATGGGGATAATAATAGTACTTGCTTACCTCCCTTGCATGGGAAGATTGAGAATGAAAAGAGATAATGCACAACGGCCTGTACCACAATGCCTGTCCAGTCCAGTTGCTGTGGAGTTGACTCTGACTCATGGAGACCCCATGTGTGTCAGAGTAGAACTGTGCTCCATAGGGTTTTCAATGGCTGATTTTTCTCAAGTAGATCACCAGGCCATTCTTCCAAGGAGCCTCTGGGTGAACGCAAACCTCCAACCTTTCAGTTGGCAGCTAGGTGTGTTAACTGTTTGCACCACCGTGATACCTGGCACCTGTAAAATGTTCAGAAAATGAGAGTTATGGTTATTCTTATTATAGAGTCCCTAACGTGATTATTCTCGGGATGCGACTCATTGCTGTCTAGTTGATTCTGACTAATAGCGACCCTATAGGACACAGTAGAACTGCCCCATATGATTTCCAAGTCCATAATCTGTACAGAAGCAGACTGCCACATCTTTCTCCCACAGAGCAGCTGGTGGGTTCAAACTGCAGAATGTTCAGTTAGCAGCCAAGCGCTTAATCACTGCACCACCAGTGTCTTTCTTAGGATGTGACTTAGACTTAAAATAGCAGAGCTAGACAGGCTCCTGTTGTTGTTCTTAGGCGCCCTCGAGTTAGTTCCGACTCATGGCGACCCTATGTACAGCAGAACAAAACACTGCCTGGTCCTGTGCCATCCTCACAATCATTATGCTTGATCCCACTGTTGCAGCCACTGTGTCAATCCATCTCATCGAGAGTCTTCCTCTTTTTTACTGACCTTCTACTTCACCAAGCATGATGTCTTTTTCCAGGGACTGGTCCCTCCTGATAACATGTCCAAAGTATGTAAGACAAAGTCTCCCTATTCTCACTTCCAAGGAGCACTCTGGCTTTATTTCTTCCAAGACAGACTTGTTCGTTCTTCTGACGGCCCGTGGTATATTCAATGTTCTTTGCCAACACCATAATTCAAAGGCATCAATTCTTCTTTGGTCTTCCTTATTCACTGTCCAGTTTTCACATGCATATGAGGCGATTGAAAATACCATGGCTTGCGTCAATTGCACCTTAGTCCTCAAAGT